GGGAGAGAGAGAGAGAGAGAGAGAGAGAGAGAGTGTGTGTGTGTCACAGAACCCCTGCAGTGCCCATGATACCTGGTAGTCAGGGCCTGACACCCAGCTGTGAAGCTTCCTAGAAGGCGGCTGAGGTTCTGGCACCTTCCGGACGACACGGGTTCTGCCTCCTGTTTCGCCCCAGTCCTTTCCTTCCTCTTGGGTGCGCTTGGCATCAGCACTATCTGCAGAGCTCACTGACAACTGCCGCTGCCTCCTGGGGTCCCAACTGTTCCTGGGACAAACCACACAGAGCATTAGTTCTCCCAGTCGGCCCAAGCATGGTCTGGCCTCACTGGTCAGGCCCTTAGGAATTCCAAAGTTGGCTGTCTACATACCAATTTCCTTCATGAGAGCAGACCTACCCCGCACCCCCTCTACAGGTGAGAGGATGTGCCCAGAGCACCAAAATCAGCACCAATGTTTACCAAGTCAGCCTTACACACACAGCTCCTGGCAGGATGCCTCACACCCATTACTTTATTTACTCCAAAAAAAAAAAGTCTCTACTTCCCCCATGTTAAAGAGTTGGTAATTGAGTCTCCGACAGGTTGGGGAGCTGTTTTCACAAGGAAGAGCTAAGAGATTTGAGCCTAGGACTCCCACTGAAGGCCCTTCTCTTTACGCCACAGCTCCCGCCCTGTGCTTTGCATAAAGGAGCTGCTTAATAAATGCTCCTCGCAACAGCAAAAGAAGGCTCACTGGCTGATTCATGATAAAGAGCAGGAGGAACAAAGCAAAGCACACACAGCGTGGAAAAGGAGGAGAGAGATGCCCAGCGGAGGCTACGGGAAGGCTCGAAGCGAAGGGAGGCTTGTGCAGTGCTCACCTTCACATGCCCCAGTGTAAACCAAGGCCCTGGGGCAAAACACACACGTGCATCTACTCAGCACCCCTTCTTTAATGGTGCCCACTAAACCCAGCAGGAGCGCAGAGGAAGGCAGGGAGTCAGACCTGGCTAATGTATGTGTCTGCGCAGGTGCACACGCATGCGCGCGCACACACACACACAAGCACACATGCACACACACACACACACACACACACAAGCATGCATGCACGCACAGGAGGTGGAAGGGAGATGGAAGGGAGGTGGGGTGGGTATCGGGACACCACAGACTGGGCAACAACTGCTAGCGGCTCCGGACTGCAGTCAGAGGCGGGCGCCCACACGAAGCCTCCTGACCCACCAGGAGAGATCAAGTCTGCAGAAGACAACTAAGGAACAGTGTGAGGGTGAGATGAAAGGAAGGACATGAGCTGGCCAGCCTCTCGATGGTGCAGCAAAGAAAGGATGTGGGTCCCAGTGGCCCCCAGAGACAATGAACAGGAAGGGATGGAACAGGAAAAGTTTCAGGAACCCATCGTGGATGGCAAATAAAATGTCAAAGAAGACTGGGGAGCTTGTAGTAGGAGTCTCAACCAGCTCAGGGAACACACTGAGGTCGTGGCTGGTGGACTCAATTTGATGTGTCCTTGGTCACAGCCAGTGGTGAACTGGGTCCAAATCCCAGGTCTAACTCTTTCAGATGAACATTCAATTCACATCAACTCAAAGAGACAAGAAGAGAGTGGCCTGCTGCTCCAATAAATCTGCAAAACTTTGCTTGCCATTGATTTAAATTCTTGATCACATCTCCTTCTGAGCTTAGTGTTCCAAAAACTGACCCACAGATATTTATTTCCCAAGTGCATCCAAAGCTTCAGTTGAAATCAAGCAACATTAAAATAAATTACAGAAGCCTCAATTCGTCAATTGTTTGTGTATCATCTGAGAGAGTGGCAGATCATTACCAGCTCCCTGCGCAAGAGGAGCTCTGAAGCGAAAGACGAAATAACAGAGACTTGCAGACCCAACTACGTAAACATTCAATTACTGACAATAAAAGAGACAAAGGGAAAAATATTAAAGCACTAATGTCTAAGCAATATAAAACAGTAATCACATTTTAACGGAAAGCAGAGTAAGTCTAACAGAGTAAGTCTAACAGATAAAGGAAATAGGCAATTTCACGCAAAAAGAAGCATTCTTATTTGCCAGTACTGGGGCAGGGGGGAGCAAATTAAAGCAACCATAGGTGCTCTTCTCAAAGGACTGGCCAATACTACTGGTGTCATGCTAAAAACTAGAGGGACTAGACTACAATGAAGTATTTTCCAAAAGGTGTTGTGAGTAAAAATCAGTCCAATGGAATGATCCCCCCCCCCAAAAAAAAAAAAAAGAGAGAGAGAAGAGATTAAAGTGGTCAAATAAGTTTAGGAAATGTGGCATCCCCGCCTCCCCCCAGATTCCCAGCACACTGCAGTATGCACACCCTAGGCTCTGGATGACCTTGGAACTATTTATTAATAAACAGTTAAGTGGAAAGCAAAGTTTCCCAAATTTGCTTGGCCAGAGAAGCCTTCTGGGGTACTATACCCAAAGCAATCTATGGAACAAGCAGTCTATAAGACACCCTTGGGAAAATACTGGCACAGTGGTTAAATCGCTAGGACTCAGCCAGCCAGCCACGCCTGGGTGCAGATCCCGGCTCCAGCCCTGAACAGCTGTCCTCAAAAGCCAAGGCCCCCCCATCTGCAAATGGAAAGAGTATTTGCCCTTGCGAGGTTGCTGGGGTAACCAGGAAATGCACTTGGCATGGTGACGGGCACACGGCAGCACCACGAACACGGGTGCACTTACATCCCGCTAAGGTCACACTCCTTGGCAGCGGAGCAATCAGCGGCACAGGGACACTTACCGCTTTGGCCTGCCATCCTTCACAACTTCCTCCTCCTCCTCATCGTCGCTGAACTTCAACTTCTCCGAGTAGTCCACTTCTTCATGGAGGCCTGCAACAGGAGCACGGCCAGGGAAAGTGAGACCAAATGCGAGACTCGGCAGTGCTAAGGTCGCCACTGGGGAGCCTCCTCCAGTTAGGAACTGCACCAACCCAGCTGGGTAAGGCACACCTCCCAGCTGCCACCACCAGAACAAACGCTGCAGATAAAAATGAAAGACAGGGCTTCCCTGGTGGCGCGGTGGTCGGGAATCTGCCTGCCAAGGCAGGGGACACGGGTTCGAGCCCTCGTCCGAGAAGATCCCACAGGCCACGGAGCAACTAAGTCCGTGCGCCCCAACTACTGAGCCTGTGCTCTAGAGCCCGCCAGCCACAACTACTGAGCCCGCCAGCCACAACTACGGAAGCCTGCGCGCCCGGAGGCCATGCTCCTCAACAAGAGAAGCCACTGCAGTGAGAAGCCCGCGCACCGCAACAAAGATCAGCCCCCGCTCGATGCAACTAGAGAAAGCCCGCGTGCAGCAACGAAGACCCAATGCAGCCAAAAATAAGTAAATAAATAATTTATTTTTTTTTTAAAAAAGATGAAGGACAGTGCTGGCTCTGGTAACAGCAAAGTAGCCTGGTTAGACTAACACCCCCTGGCTAGACTTAAGACAACAGCTCTTAAATCTAGACAAAATATTCTCCAAGTGTATTAGGAGGTGAGGAGAGTGGACAAAAGCAGGTAGAAACCAGCCAGGAGGCCACCCTAGCAACACAGACACCTGAACAGTGAGATTCGTGGGTGGCCGTTTTGCCCCAGGGCCCTCCCCTACCCCAGTGGCTCAGGTAGCAGAAAGTCACCATCAACTGATGAGTGGGTACACAAAATGCGGTAGAGCCATACAATGGAAGAGTATTTGGCCACTAAAAAAAGATTTTAAAAGAGTTCAGACCCATGCTGCAACATGATGATCCTTGAAAACATTATGCTAAGTGACAGAGCCAGATATGAAAAGCCACGTATTCTATTGTGTGATTCCATGGATATGAAACATCTAGAACAAGCAAATCCACAGAGACAGAAAGTAGATGAGCGTTTGCCGAAGGGTGTGCGTGGAGGGCAGGTGGTAACTGGGAGTGACTCTGCTGATGGGTATATGGGTGTCTTCCGTGGGAGACAGAAATGCTCTGGAATCGAACAGGGAGGATGACTGCACAAACCTGTTAATATACGAAAAATATCTGGATTTTAGACTTTCTGAGGGTAAATTTTACGTAATATGAAAATCTGTCAAGTGAATTATATCGTTAAAAAAAGGAGACGACAACAAAAAGCCCAATCCAACTAAAAGGCGAGTTAGATTGGACGATAAAGCAAGTGCAATTACATGCTGTTTCCCAGAGCATCACTTTATATACAAACACAAGTGGGTTAAAGGGAATGAATGGAAAATACACACCATGACAACAATAAATAATTTAAGTCAGAGCAATGATACTAACATAGGACAAAACAGACTCCAAGACAAGAAGTGTTACGAGAGATAAAAAAGGATATTTGAAAACAATATAAACGGACAGTATGTCAGAATCATAAAAATGATAAATGTGCGTAACAGCTTCAAAATAAATGAAGCAAAAACTGACAGAATTAAAGGGAGAAATAGATAAATCCACAATTACAGTAGAGAGTTTAACACCTCACTTTCAGTAACTGGTAGAACTAGGCAAAAATGTAAGTATATAAGATCTGAACAACACTACCAACCACCTTGACTACACTGATATTTAGAGAATGTGATATCCAACTTATAGAACATACATTCTTTTCAAATGCACTTGGAATATTCACCAAGATAGACCATGTATCTTGGTCATAAAACAAGTCTTAAAAAGTTGGAAAGAACTGAAGTCATACAGAATATGGTCTCTTGACTACAATGGAATTAAATGAGAACTCTAGAAAGCTCCAATTAAAACGACTGGTGAACTAGAAAACAATCAAACAATGGAGAAAACTAAAGCCAAAAGCCGTCTCTTTGTAAAGACTGATTAATTAAACTAATAAGCCCTTGGCAGAAGTGAACAAGAAAAAGAGAAAAAATACAAATTACCTAATTATCAGGAATGAAAAAAGGGTGATACCTGTATCACTACAGACCCTACAGACATCAGAAAAAAAAAAAAAAAAGGGAATATTATCAACAACTTTACACCACTAAGTTCAACTCAAAAGAAAGGAACAAATCCCTTGAAAATCACAACTTATGAAATACTGACACAGAAACATCGGAAATCTGAGCAGCCCTATAACTAATCAAAGAAGTTAAATTTATTATCACAAGTGTCTTTAGAAAGAAAATTCCAGGGCCAATCGGTTTCACTGGCGAATTTTATCAAGCATTTATGAAAAAAATAATACCAATCTAACAGAAACTCTTTCAGAAAGTAGAGAAGGAAGGAACATTTTCCAACACATCTTATGAGCCCAGCAAAACCTGGTATCAAAACCCAAGGGCGATATTAGAAGAAAATTACAGACCAATATCCGCCATGAACACAGGCACCAAGAATCTTAACAAAATATCAGCAAACTGAATCTAGGCGTAGGTGGAATTTATTCTAGGGATGCAAAGTTGGTCAGCATTAAAAAAATAAATCAGGGGGACTTCCCCGGTAGTCCAGTAGTTAAGAATCCACCTTCCAATACAGGGGACACAGGTCTGATCCCTGGTTGGGGAACCGAGATCCCACATGCCACGGGGCAACTAAGCCCGCGTGCCACAACTACTGAGCCTGTGCTCTACAGCCCGCGAGCCACAACTACTGAGCCCGCGTGCCACAACTACTGAAGCCCACGAGCCTAGAGCCCATGTTCTGCAACAAGAGAAGCCACTGCAATGAGAAGCCCGCCCACCACAACAAAGAGTAGCCCCCACTCGCCGCCACTAGAGAAAGCCTGCGCACAGCAACGAAGACCCAACGCAGCCATAAATAAATAAATGTATTTAAAAAAAAATCAGCAAACTAGAAATAGAAAGGAATCTCCACAATCTGATAAAGAACACCACCAAGAACCTTACAACTATCATATTTAATGGTGAAACACTATAAACACTTTCTCTCTAAGATCAGGAATACAGAAATTGAATATACAACATTGTACTGGAAGTACTACACTGCAATAAAGCAAGAAAAAGAAAAGGCATTTAATCTGTCCCTATTTATAGGCAACATGATGGTTTATGCAGAAAATTCTAAGAAATCAACAAGAGCTAGTAAAACTAATGAATGCATTCAGCAAACTGTCTGGTACAAGATCCACACACAAAAATCAACTCTATATATGTCTATATAATAACATCAAACACTAAAAAAACAAAACTTTTTTTTTTTTAAAACCAGTACCATTTACGATAGTGTCAAGAAACATAAAATACTCAGGAATAAACATAACAAAGATGTTCAAGACCTCTACACTGAAAACTATAAAACACTGCTGAGAGAAATGAAAGCCCTAATAGAGAAAGTTTCACCAAGTTACTGGGCAAGAGATTCAAAATTAAGATTTCATTTATCCAGAATTAAATTCAACACAATCTTAATCACAATGCCTGCAGGCTTTTAAAATACTGACCGGTTGATTCTAAATTTACATGAGAATGAAAAGAACTTAGAATAGTCAAATAATCTTAAACATGAACAAAGCTGGAAAACTTACACCAGTGAATTTAGAACTAACTATAAAGCTACAGTGTGGTATTGGCATAAGGATGAATAAACAGATCAACGGAACAAACAGCGTCCAGAAATAGACCCACACTTATATGATCAACTGACTGTTGACAAAGGTGTCAAAGCAACTCAATAGGGAATGAAAAGTCTTATCACAAACGGTGCAGAACAATCAGACAACCTAATGGATTAAAATGAACCCCGACCCCTATCTTACACCATATACAAATGAATACAACATGGATCATAGATCCAAAAATAAGTGTTAAAACTATAAAACATAAGGGAGTATCTTTGCCAGCAAGGAGAGACAAAGATTTTTTATAAAGGACACAAAAGTAAAAACCATAAAAAACACAAATTTGTAAGTTAAACTTCATCAAAATTGAAAACTTCTGCTCATCAAAACACAGTGCTAAAAAATGAACAGACAAGGCAGGCAGTTGGAGAAAATATCTGTGAAATGTTAAGTCTCCAAGGACTTGTATCCGAACACACACACACACAGACACACAAAGGCACCAGTAGGCAAATCGACATGAAAACGTGTTTATCATCATTAGTCATCAGCAAGATGAAAGTTAAAAGCACAACGAGATACCACTACACACCCACTAGAATGGCTAAAAATAAAAAGACCCACATCAAAGTGTTGTGAGGATGCAGAGCAACTAAATTCTCAAAATCGAGACTGGGAATGGCATCACCAACCACCATGGAAAAAGATTTGGGTGCTTCTTATAAAACTAATCACACACCTACCCTTTAATTCAACAATTCCACTCCCAGATATTTACCCAAGAGAAATGAACGTATTATTCATAATGGAACTTTTGAATGGGTAAACAAATTATAGTATTTGATACAATGAAATATACCTCAGTAATTAAAAGCAACTATCGATATACAGAACATGAATGAATCTCACAAATGTCACAGGAGAAGGAAAGCTGTTAGGACTCCATTCGTTTGCAGTTTCCAGTTAAGATTCATTGTAAGACAGGGAGGCCTTGGGCTGAGTCTTGGACACAGTCCGGGAGGGAGACTGGCTAGGGAGGGGCTGGGTGGTGAGGAAAGTGCTCTGTATCGTGACTCGGCTGTGCTACTCAAGCGTATGCATCTGTCAAAACTGTAAAATTAAATGTGTGCCTTTCAATGCCGTTAACTTTTACTTGAAAACGAACAATCCAAAAGAATTTTAAAAGAAAATAATCAGGTTGGGGGGCGGGGTTGGGTGAAGATAAGAATGCAGAATGTCGGCATTTGCTGAAATGCTGAAACTCGGTGACAGGGAGCTACCTGGGGTTCATTACACTCGTTTGTTTTAACTTTTCCATTATAAAAATTCTTTCTCCCTCTAAGATCAAGACCAAAGACAAAAGAAGACATGGCTCTATCAGGAAGCAACTGCTCGTCTTGAGTGCCAACCAACAAGGATCTCTTCAGGGCACCGAGGCTGGTCCCCGCCCCATGTTTTCGTTCCAACTTGCCGAGGAAAACAGTGGACTTGGTGTCAGAGGACTTCCAACCCTGGTAAGCAGAGACAGACCGCAGTCCTCCCTTCCTAAACCCTCAGCTGTGAGCCCACCAGCAAACACCCCCACCCACCTGCCCAGCCGTCATCGGCATCGGTGTCCAGGTCGTCAAGGCCCCGCAGGTTCTCCGCGTTGATGATGGTGGGCCTCGGCGCCCGTTCCACCAGCTGCCTCAGTGGACGGATTGGGCGAGTCATTCCCAGCCTGTTTTCTTTTCTGATGAGAGAGAGAAGGGTAAAGATGCTGGACTCCTGTCAAGTATACATACAGAAGCAAACCCAAATACTTTTCCAAAACTAAATCCTACACTGCAAAAGTTCATGTGTGCCCTTAATATTAAAACCGTCTCCTTTTTAAAGAACACGCAGTGAACAAATACATCCTCGAGAGAAGTTCTGCTTCATTCTGCAGTTTTATATGCTCAAGCTAATGTCTAGGGTAGCAGCAATAAACACATGCCAAATCTTCACCTGCCAGGAACCTGCAATCTCTTGTCTTGCCCCAGCCTTCTCACGCACCCTGGGTCTTGAGCTGGTTTCTCTGAGGTCTCCAGAAGACAAAGCACTTTCATATGTAAGCCCACTATCTTGTCCAGTATTCACCAACAAGGCTAATTTCTACATACGTTGACTATAATGCAATAGCCTTACCCGTCTTGGTCATTCATCTGGAACTGTCTAAAAGGAACACGGGGTTCAAGACGGAGCTGGGGAAGGGGAAAAGATCCTCGTTCCACTGTACCCTGGTTCTCTGATGACTGTGGCGAACACATCTGAAACATAATATCAATGAACACGGTTTTCTGGTAATGACCCAGATTTTAAGTTCCACTTGCATTAAAATTTGTTTTGGAAAATGGAAAATGGGAAAAAGAAACAGGAAAGTCTTGGGGTTTCCCAATTAATCCTATCAATCACCATCTCCCCCATTTCTTTCCTGCTGTCAGTACGCAAATCTGGGGACCTGTGTCTTGGGGAACAGACCTGCCTCTCCTTCTTCTAAAGAGCTAAGGCTAAGATAACATCCACATCACCAGGGAAAGAAGCCAGAGGCCCTTAAGATTGGAAAAGGAGGAGAGAAAATGCAAAAGTAATGGAAGCCTCCCTAGTAGGGTATGAGGGCAAAGAGACCGGGAGGGAGAACCCAAGGTAGGCACTCAACCACGTGGAGTAGCTTCTGCTGGACATGAACAAGCTGACCTCACGGGGAAAGAAATGCACACTCCGAAGACTTACAAAAGCAGGAAGCATGTCATGGTATGTAGGTGGGTGGTATACATTCCCCATGAACTGTGAAGCCCCTTTTCGGACAGGCTGAGCCGGGCGGAGAGAGGGGTCCTTAGAATCGCTGGTACATGACGAGGAGGGGGCTCCGTCTCCCGCACTCGAGTTCCTGCTGCCCAGCTCAGTTGGGGAGGCGCTCAGAGACGTGGCAGAAATTATGTTTCGCCCACCGCCCTCCCTCCAGCTTGTCACATCTGGAAATTGAAAGGGGGCAAAAGGGGAGAGGAAAGAGGAGGGGGAGGAGGGATTGTATGAGGTTCTGAAGGTCAAGGGACCCCCCTCACTCACCAAAAAGTTTTTAAAAAATAAAACAACAAAAGTGAAGAATCGAGTCGACTGGTCAAGTCTGTCAGGGAAGGTGGGGGGCAGACGCCCGGCCAATGAGTATGAACTTGCTGAGGGGGTCCAACTGTCAGCGAAATACAAAACAAGGTCCACTCAGAGAGAAGGCAAGTGTGAACGAGACGTGGTCTTCAGCAACTCACAGAAACTACACAACCTCAGACCTAACACTCCAAAGAAACCAAGACGGCCCCAATGAAAGCAGCCTTGGGTCATTTCTTCCACAATCATGCTGACCCCAAGAGGACCAGCACTGTGCTCGGCACTGGACTGGACTTTAGAACCAGAGAGAGTTCCAGACACGTGTTCAAGCTCCACTCCAGCAGTGGCACCTCTAGTCAGAGACTCCCCAGCTGTGAAGCAAAGCAGAGCTGCTCTCCCCTCTCCGAGACGGGGCTGGAAGGGTCTGGGACCCTACCCACCGGGCCTCGCCCCACCTGCTCTGGCAGCGGCCGGTGGGGCCCTCCCACAGGTCACAGATTGAAACCGGCCAACCCTCTCTGACCATCTTTTTAAGACGAGGCTTTCCACTGCAAAGGTAGCAAAGCCTGGTGGAATTAAGAGGCCAACGAGGAATCAGATGAGCCAAAAAGACTCCTCTTTTCAGTCAACTTGTAGTTAGGAGTTCAAACAGGTCCCTGAGTACCTGAGCCCTAAGAGAATGGAACCCAGGTCCGGAGCCACAAAGTCACAGGCTGCTCCCAGCTCTTCAGGTACCTCGTGCGTGATCTTGGCCAAGCCCTGGTCACCCCTCAGGCCATCTGCTTCTTCATCTTCTCAGACAAGGAGATGGAAGTGATCCCAGAAGCTTCTTCTAGTTCTAAGCTGTTATAATCCTATAGCAGCTCATCTTAATTAATCCCAGAAAGTTAAAGTTCTTGGCCTAAGGAATTTGATTATATATTTGGAGCAGCCAAAATAACCCAGCATAGGCCGCTGAAAAGGCAGTATGTTTTATGAGAGTTGCACAGTGATTGTTTCACTTATAGAATATCTGTTCTGCCTTTGGGATACCTTGGGGATTAATCAAAACAAGCAGATAAAAGTCTCTCATATTTCAAAACCTGATCGACGCCCCCGCCCCAAGGGCTACTTCAGAATCCGTGATGAGAACAGATGGAAAATCTCATTCCTAAACGACACCTTGAATACTAACCACCCAAGGCCACAAAGAACAAAATAGTACCAGTAAGAATTGCTACACAATCCTGCTGACCCCTTGGCCAGACCCCAGATGTGGGGTCGTGGAGGCTAGTGCTGGGCCGGCTACTCAACCAGGGGAACGTGTTAAAAAAAAAAAACAGATTCTAATTTGGCTGGGGATGGGCGAGGGTTGGAAATCAAGACTTTTTAACAAACGCCCCAAGTGATTCTGATAGGATTCGGCCAAGTTTGGGAGCCACTGATTAGAAAACAAGCTCCTGAATCGGGACTCAAGTTAATTGACCCTTGGTCTGTCTGTCCTTGCCGTGACCACCCAGGTACAGCAGAACTAACATCTGATGACTGCTGGGAAGGCGGACAGGCCTGGCCTGACCCGAAGGACAAGAAAGGAGGAGTGACCTCCAGCCCAGCCCAGGGAATAAGTCCAGCAGACGCATGGATCAGGTACAGGATCAACGGTCGTGCTTTCCAGGAAGGGAACCTGGCTCCTCGAGAAACAGCACGCTTCTAAGAGGGGAGAAAGACAAGGGGAAATCCTGCTGCTCCCGTGGGTGCCCACAGCGGCTGCAGCTCACTTACTCTGAGGGCGGAGGCTTGGTCCTGGCCCATACGACAGATCTAAGACGCCCTTTTCTTTGCCAGCCTTGTCCTGCCCTCCAGCTGCTTTCAGCGTCGGAAATTCCTCGGGAGAGAAGGATAATAGTCGGCTTGAGGCCCTTAAACCTGTCAAGAGAATTGGAAAGACGTATGGAGCAAGTGAGATGGACATCAACAGTTCTCTGCTTTAACAACGGCACACGCTGGCAGCCACGCTGCCCTGAAGGGAGCTCCTTCCTGGGGTGCTGTCTGCGCTGGCCTTCTGTGCCCGCAGAGTGGCACTAGGGTTCCCTGAGGGTTACAACAGGAGGCTGCCCGCAGACCACACCAGGTCCCTTGCCAGCCACCCTGCAGGAGCTGGTCACAAAGGGCAGGGGGTAAGGTATGGCAGAGGTTCCAGCCCAGATCCTTCCCTCCCACTCCTGGAAGAAAGCAGTAAGGTCCTTCCAGGGGCCCCGGGGGGCGGATAAGCACGGTCTTTGGTGAAATCAGCCCAGTGAAGCCAACTGCTTTTGGGTGGAGGTAATGCCCTGCCCCCCAACGCCTCCACCCTAGATTTACACCCTCACCCTAGGTTTATGCCTCTTCGTTTGTCCACTCCAGTTTACTATTTTCTACAGAGATCCTCAAGCCCTACAAGACCAAACATTTCACTCTTGCAATCTGGGAACAACCTCTTTGTTCTTTCATTCATTCCCCTACACTATGAACTCTGCAGAGAAGAAGCCTTTTCTTAACTCTGTTCCAATCACTCACAGCACTTAGCACCGGGAACCTGCAATCGTCTTCTCAATGAATAGATAATAATAAACGATGCATTTTAGGGTCTAGAGTGGGATTTGGTCCCTCTCCTGGAATACACAGTACGTGTCCAGCACCACACAAACTTAATAACAGCAATATCACACAGTAAAATGTCCAACGGTGACATGCTTTGATCCCTAGACAATACAGCCAAATCTGTCCCTAGGTATTACTGATTTGAGGACCTAACTCAGGCAGACTTTGCCAGAAAGATGCAGCGGGGATTAGTGCAGATGTACAAGGCGGTGATTCATCCACCATCCCACTTAGTAAAAAGGTCCAGGGTCAAATGAACATGCTGGGGGGATAAATGGACACATTATTAACCAATGATTAACCTGACAGATAATCGCCAAGTGTCGCAAAGGAGCACTACTGCTCACATAGTTGCTTCATTATGTTAAAAGGTCATTGGCAAGAATGAAATACGAAAGTCCTGCTTTAAAAATATGGTAGAGGGACTTCCCTGGCGGTTCAGTGGTTACGACTCCGCGCTTCCACTGTAGGGGGAGCGGGTTCCATCCCTGGTCGGGGAACTAAGATCCTGCATGCCGTGCAGCGCGGCCAAAAGAAAGAAAAAAAGTAGATAATTTGAAGTTAAAAAACAACAACAACAACAACACAACAGCAAATGCCTAGTACTTTTTTTCTGCCTCAATAGTCATGAAGGTATTATTCTAATCATGAATTAAACTTACCCTCCACAGATAAAAAAGATAACTCAAAATCTCACACCAAAGTAGTAGTATTCCTAAGGTTTAGAACACCCTGTAATGTTCACCCACCAATCCCTCCTACCCTCTGTTCTCTGCCATGAGAAACTGAGGCAGTGAAATCAGGGGCTTCTTCTGAGGCCCCAGATGGAGCCGCCGGTGGTGCTCTAGCAGCAGAGCCCACGAGCCATGTGCCTCTGGCCTCTGCCTGAACCACACAAGCAGGCCTCCTGGGCCTGATGCAAGTGAAACAGACCAAACGACCACCTTCTACATGGAGAGAGTCTGTCAACTCAGGAAGAACCCTTCTGAGTTCCAAAGAGCCATGAAAATGCTTGCGGGCCACACCCCCAAATCCCCACAGCCCTGGTGGCATCGCGGGCTTGTGACCCCGGCGTAGGAGGGGAACCAGAAGCCGGGTTCCCTCCCCAGCCCCACCTGGTCGGCACGTGTCTGTTCTCTCCTCTTGGGCTACTGGGCTCTGCCGTCTCCCAGACGAGCTATCACATGTTTACAGAGTATTTTACTGTGTTTTAGGATTATTTTCTAAATCAAGTTTTTTTTTGATAGGTAATACAATCAAAAGGTTCAAAGGTAACAAGCCTTCAAAGAGCGTAAACAGAAGCCTACCTCCCACCCTCGTGCCCCATCTGCCTACTTCAAACACCCTCACACAACTGGGAGTCTTCTGTTTCGTTCCTTCTCACCCTTCCTCTTATGTTTCCTTCCAGAGATTTTTTTTTAATGCGCATACAACATTTTTAGAAGCGTACTTTCCCTCTCCCCAGTTGTTTGCACAAATGGTAATATACTCTGCGTACTATTCCACACTTTTTTTCACTTAAGAATATGTCCTGGAGATCTTGCCAGATCGGTAGAAAACTGCTTTTTTTCCTTACAGCCAAGTAGTATTTCATTAAAATACCATCCTTTGACGGACATTTCAAGGGACTGTGTCCAATCTTTTGCTATTACAATGTTGCAATGAATAATCTCGTGCATGTCATTTCACACAGCTGTAAGTATCATCTACAGGGTGATTTCCTCCAAGTGGAACCTCCAGGTCAAAGGGTACTCGTGCTGGTGTGTGACGGGCAATGCGAATTTACACTAGTTTTTTTAAATCTCTGTAAGTTCTTATTAAATTAAAATGAATATTCCATTTACTTAAAGAAATTCCAACCTCATGGAAATGAAGGCTACAGAAAGCAAAGAACCACTGTTAACAGTCCAGTGAATCGTCTCCGTCACGCCTCTGTGAAGACCTTGCTTCCGGTCTGCAGTGCCTTGTTGCATCCCCACCCCACCTGGCCTCCCTCACCCTCCAGGCTGGGGCAGCCAGCTGAGCTCCCCCTGCCCTTTCTCCTCTAGGCGAGCTGCAGCTCCAAAGCCCCCGGAACACCTTTGGGCTGAGGAAGGGGTAGGCCTTCAACCGCACAGCGACCCGAGGCCAGAAGGGCCCGTCCTTGGGGCGTTGGAGTGGCAGGGGTGTGTGGGGAAGGTGGCACACGGAGCTGGCTTTCTACTCTAAGCCATAAAATGTAAAGTCTGGCCAGGCCTTGGCCGGCAGGGATACACAAAAGACAGAGGGCAGCGCCAGGACAGGGGCCAAGGGTAAAAAAGGCAGCCCCTGCTGGTTTACAGAAGAAAAAGCAACTGTGGTGCGGAGCCTCTCACACCCCCGCCCCTCTCCATCCAGCTCGGGGCGCCGCGCAGCCTGCTCTGAACAGCGTGCTAGAAATACGCGCGCCGACACTGGGAAACCAGGAGGGTTCATTAGAAGAATCTGGGTTTCTGGCTCCTCTCAAGAACACCCGTGGACCCTGGGCCCACATTCTCAAAGGGCTCCAGATGCTGGAGGGGAGCCAGATTTCCCTCTGCCCCAGCGCCCCTCAGCCATGCCACTCGGGGGCCTGCTCTGCTCTGGGCCTGCCTTGGAGCCATTTCAGTCTGTTGCTCGGCAT